AAGGCACGTTTCATGTGAACACCGTCACGGACGATGACTATGCTGGCTTCATCTTTGGCTACCAGGACAGCTCGAGCTTCTACGTGGTCATGTGGAAGCAGATGGAGCAGACATACTGGCAGGCCAACCCCTTCCGTGCTGTGGCTGAACCTGGAATCCAGCTCAAGGTGTGCAGGGGGCGGGGGCCTCCTGACCTCTTGTTCCATGGCCTCTAGCAAGCCCCTAAACCCTTCCACAGAACCCCAGAGCTTTCACAGCCCCCCAGCATCACTCAAAGTCTTCCTACCCACTTTCATCTCTCCTCTGGATTCCCATGGGCCCCCAAATCCTCCCGTTTCCTCTCCCAGACCTCCAAACCCTCACCCAGCACCCCCAGCCATCTCTTGGGCCCTGAAACCCTCTCGTAGAGCCCTAAGCTTTCCCTCAGGTTCCAAATCCTCCTGCAGACCCCCCAGACTACGTTGCAGATATTTCCCAAATCCTCTAGGCCCCCGTGTATCCCATAGACACCCAACACTCTCTACAGGTCACTAAATCCTCTCCCAGACCCCCTAATCTTCCCAGACCCCAAACCTATTCACCGACTCCCACACGCTCTCAGGAGTCCCCAGATCAGTTACCCACCATGACCCACCTGCAAATCTCCATGTGGTGCTCAAGGCGGCTTCCTGTGGGTTCCCATCCAGACCCCCCACCCCCACCCCCCACCAATAAGTCTGCTATCATTCCTCCATGACCTGAAGGAACGAACCACCAGGCAGGGTTCTGAGAGGCCCCAGCGGCCTCCGTGGCCTCTGACCCTCTGCTCCTGTTCCCGGGCACGCCAGGCTGTGAAGTCCTCCACGGGCCCTGGGGAGCAGCTGCGGAATGCGCTGTGGCACACGGGGGACACAGCATCACAGGTGCGGCTGCTGTGGAAGGATCCCCGCAACGTGGGCTGGAAGGACAAGACGTCCTACCGCTGGTTCCTGCAGCACCGGCCCCAAGTGGGCTACATCAGGTGGGGACCCCAACCCTGCGGGGACTGAGTCCCTGCTCCACCCCGGCCCCTGGAAGGAGGGACTCTGGGGCCTTGGTCCCCTTGTCTGTAAAACAGGTAAACGCAGGCAGCTAGAATGAACTGTGACTGGCCCTGGGACATGACACCCCACCTAGGACCCAGCACACAGTGGGGCCTCAGCTAGAAGGTGGGGTCTCATCCACACCCCATTTCTCAATCCCTACTCTGTGCAGGAAATCCAGTTAGCACCCACTGTGTACAGGATCCTGGATATCCATTCTCACAGGGAAACTGAGCTTCCAGTCAGGAGCCCCACCTGCTCTGAGTATGGGTCAGGCAGGAGAGATCCATGGCCCCTACTCGAGATGGGAGGGGCCCATCTGCCAGGGCAGGACGCCACACGCTGAGGTGCTTCACTGTCCCGTCTCCCTCTCCCCCAGAGTGCGGTTCTACGAGGGCCCTGAGCTGGTGGCTGACAGCAATGTGGTCTTGGACACAACCATGCGGGGTGGCCGCCTGGGTGTCTTCTGCTTCTCCCAGGAGAACATCATCTGGGCCAACCTGCGCTACCGCTGCAACGGTAGGAGGAGAGAGTAAGGGGGCGGGTGAGGGGAGGGCCTGCTAGGTAGCAGGTCTGCCCTGCTGGCCTCACCCTTTCTCATTCGCCTATCCTCTCTCCCTCCACAGACACCATCCCAGAAGACTATGAGACCCAGGGGCTGCTGCAGGCCTAGGGATGGGTGGGGGACCTGCCATTAGATGACGGCCACCCTCAGGCCTGGAGCACTGAGGGGCAGCCAACCTTGGGGAAGGGAAGAGATCAGGGAGGACAGAATAAAGTGTGTTCGGCAGGATGGTGGCTGTGGTCTCTCCTTGGGGAGATGGTGGAGTCTGGCCTTACTGCTGACTTCCCTCCGAACCAATTAGCAGTGTCCAGCTGCTGCAGCTCACCCACCCTGAAGTGTCTGCTCCAGAATCCTGGGGGGTTGGTTGTTCCCCTTCCGGGACACAGGTCCAAGTAGCTGGCTAGTAGGGTGAGATTGTGAGGGGTGCACATCTGTGTGTCCATATTCATGTGTGCGTGTGCTTCCCACCAGGTGTACCTGTGACACCCATATTTCATCTCTGGGTGAAGAACAGGGGTAGGAAAAAAGGGGAGGAGACAGAGACGAAAACGTTGGGTTTTTATTAGGTTTCATTACAAAGGATGCAAAGGTACAAAGACAAAAGCGTCCACGCCAGAGGACAGGCAGGGGCTGGCCGAGTGCGCCCTGAGCCGCCCGCCCCAGCCCGCCACGGGCACCCACACGCTCGGCCCATGGGACATCCACAGCAGAGTGTACATGCTGGGGTGGGGTGGGGGCAGAGCCAGCCTGGGGACAGAGGGACACAGGTGGGGCAGGGCTCAGACCGATGAGTTTGCATATATTAAAGTGCCACCCAGACCCCTTGGGGGCAATTTCCTGGGGGGACACATTAGGGGGCAATGGACCTTGGCTGCCAAAGGCCTCCCTCCCAGGGCCCAGTGGGGAAGGCCATGGCAGTGTCCCCTTGTCCGAGCAGGCAAGAGGTCAGAAGTGACAGGCTAGGGTGGGCTGGGCATCAATTGCCCCCAAATTCCAGAACCTGGCTCCTTGGGATGAAGTGCTGGGAACTGGCCAGGAGGATGGAAAGCAGAGGGAGCCATCTGCAGCCAGCATTACCCTGACATACAACCCTTGCCCTTCATTCACCCTGATTGGGAGGGGCCCTGAGACCCATGGGTCTGAGCCAGTAAACAGGAGGGAAACTTCGGCCCAGTTCACAAGGGTCTTGCATCTGCTCTCCAGGAGTACCCAGCACCCTACCTCCCTCTCCTGGGGAGTGCCCAGTTGCCTGTGGCACGTGGGTAATGAAAGGCCTGAGCCCCACTCAACCAGCACCCCTGCAGGAATGTCACAGGGGCCCCTAGTCACATAAAACTGAGAGACCCCCAGGAGGTGGAAGCCCAGGGACCAAAAAGAAAGGGGACAGAAACAGACCCAGCTGCACACTTAATCCAGGCAAGCCTCCCGGAGAGCGTGAGGCACCAAGTCCTCCCCCAGCTCTGCAGGCCACGGGGGCTCAGGTAGCCACAGCCCTCGCCTGGACCGCCACCGCAGGAGTGATGGGCCAGGACCAGGGTGCCCAGGACCACAGACCTTGAGCTCCCCATACCCAAGTCCTACCCTGCGCCCCCAAAGCTTTGACCACAGCTTCATCAGAACCCAGGGCTGCTTTGTCAACCCCCTAAAGCCTCCAGAACCTCACATGGGGTTGGGGGTGCCTCCTGTGGAAAAACAAAGTTGAGTCCAGCGGAGGGGGCATTGGATGGATGTTTGGTTATAATCAGCTCAGGGCCCCCTGGCTCCTTAGTGAAAGTTGCTCATAGGCACTCATCAGGCCCAGGAAACCTGACAGACAAGGTCCCCCACACTGAACATCTGGCCCCAGCAGAATGCATGAATGGGCAGGGGGCCCCTGGCCCTCCAACAGCGCCGCATTTGACAGAGCTGACCTCACCCACTCCATGTGACACATGGGCCTCACAGCAGACCACCCCACTGGATGTCCTTCCAGGAGTTTGGCCAATGAAAATCAGGTCAAACACACTAACCACTCGGAACCCTCCTTCACCATGAAAACTTATGAGCAGATAATAGCATAGAGGGCCAAAAAGTCCAGCCCACGCAAGGGGGTGGGGAAGCATCCCTGGGGAAAAGTCAAGAAGCACACAGCCCTGCCCTTGATAGCTGGTCCCAGGGACCCCTGTGAACCAGTGGTGGGGCTGGACCCACTTTAATCAGGTCCCCTTCTACGGTGGCTTGTCCCCACTGGGGAGCCTGGCCAACATTGGAATACCATTGGCTACGAGTCCCCACACTTTGCTGAGGGGTTGACCTGCCCCGAGCTTTCCACTGAGGATCTCAAGCACCTCTGCCCCAAGAGACTGGCACTCACCCTTCCTGCCCAGAAGTATCAAGGGGAGGGGGCTGCAGGATGCTCCAAACAGCGCTGCCTGTCTTCCCCCTGTAAGGGCATGGAGCGGGGAGGTCAGCATGGGCACCTGTGATGGGGGATATGATCCCGAGACCCTGTCTTCTCCTCCAGTCAGTCCTAGGCACAACCCTCTTCTCTGGAGAGTCGCTAACCCCAGGATTCATCTCAGCCCATGAGCTACGTAGAGGGACAAACTCATTGCCCTGGGGACTTGGAGGGCAGAGGGTAAACTGAGGCAGATGGGGATTAGGCCAAGCAGCTTGAGCTCCCAGAGGAAAGGTTTGCACAGCTGAGGGAACTCAGCTAAAGCCAAGAGCACTAGGAAGAGGGCAGTCGGGGGACCTGGATGGCCTCTGAGCCCATGTGGGCTCAGTGTCAAGGCTTGAAGTCCAGTCTTGCCCAGAGCTTATTCGAGTAGGATATGGGCGGTAGGTCTACATACAGAATATAGGCACAGGCCCGCCCCTCTTGGTGCAGCTTACCTAAAATCACAGTATTTTCACATCGCAAGTCAGAAGACTGATTCCCTTATGCTGTCTTGCCTCAGAAAGTCTTGGCAACTCAAGAATATTTAGTAGAGAAGTGATATTTAAGAAGAAAAAACAAAACCCCCCCACAAATTCCCTGTTGCAGACCCCAGGAGGCCTCCCAAGCCCCAGGAAGACGTGGAGATGCCTGGCCGCTGGCTCCCGGTGGGGCCACCTCCGAGGATAGCTCTGCACCTCCACCTCTCATAGGCAGAGGATGCATGTTAATACAATGTCACCTGTGTTCCAGGCCATGGGCCTCGCCTGTCTGTCTGCACCTAGAACTGGTGCTGGACAGATGGGAAGCGTGGGCTGACAAGGCTCCCTCACTGGATCCCAAAGCCTTGTTTGAAAATTGCATCCAGGAAGGTTGCTTGTAATTTTATTAAGGCCATTTTTTAAAAAGTTCTACATACAAGTCTAATGGTAACCAAACTCTTCTATGTACATCTAGATGTTCTTTTTTTTATTTATTTAAAAAGTCCCCATCTATGTCCCCAGTCCCTGCCACAGAAAAAGGATAGGCCCTGGACCCGGACAGACTGACACTGTGCTCCTCAAGCCCAGACAATGGTGGCGGGGCCAAGTGACTGGGGAGGGAGACCTTCTCACAAGTGTGGCTGCCCAGCTGCTTGGATACGTGCTAACAGCCTGGCCAAGGAGCGAAAAGGAAGGACAATTGCTAGGATCAAATCCAGCTCCCAGTGAGAGGGCTCCCGAGGCCGAGGCAGAAGGGTGACCTCTGACACCACAAAGAAACACACCAGGCAGAAGTGTCAGCTCAACAGCATGTGGAGGAGTAAGTTGAGATGCAACTTGGGGACTGAAACAGAGATTCCTAGTAAAGCTGCCAACAGAAAAGAGAGCCAGCCTGTCACCCCCTCGAAGGGCCTGAGGGCAGAGGGATGGTCACCACTGCCTATCAAGGCACTTTGAGAAGCAAGCACCTAGAAACCCACCACTAAAAGCATGCTGCTCTTTGCCTCCAAACCCAGTCCTACCAGGAGGAGCAACAACAGAAGTGGCCAGGGGGATGAGTGTCAGCTGGTTCTCAGGGTGGGGATGAGAGACAACCTCATTTGGGGTGTCTAGGAACAGAGGGGCCACAGCTGCTGCCAGCCTCAGGGTCTGGGACACACCAGCCCTGAGGACTGGCGGGCACCTTTAGGGCGAGGCAGAGCCGGGTCTTCTCCAGGCCCTTAATAAAAGCATTGGCTCCTTTCCAGAAGTCTGTTACGTAGCCAGAGAAAAGGCACCTCCAGTTACCCAAGCTTCTGTCAGAGTCCTCGCCTAGCACAACCTGCCCTCACTGGGCTGGGCAGCCACTCAACCCTTCTGTTTTGAGATAACTTGAGGTGAAACTAATGAGGCTAGGGTCACAGCTCAGATGGCAGACTGCTTCCAGTTAGCTTTAAAACATATGCAAATGTAGTATTTCAGGAATAAAAAGATGCTCTCAGGCAAGTATTGGCTTGAAGGAGTCAACTACTCATCTACAGCCAAAATGCAAATACATACCGAAAGAAACAACAGAAAATACAACAAAAATGCCCTGGCCACGCCCTTCCCACTAGTCTGTAAATAACAGTAACAGTGACCATAGTACAGAGCAGGAAAGATGAAAACAAGTTCTAAAGCCACCCCTAGAAATAACTGACTCCCACATTCATCCCGGCCAGCGGCTTCCTAACAGAGGCAGCCCCAGAAGGATCTGGTGTGGGGGCAGGTGAGGTGGGAGGAGGCTGGGAAGATCTAGCTGCTCTGTTTACATCCACCCCCATGAGAAGCGTTCTAGCATTCTGTTTGCTCAGGAATATAAAAGACAGCAGTCAAAATAGTGTTTATTTTGCACTGGGTCTATCCCACTCTCTGGCGTTCTCTCTCTCTTGTCGGTGGGGATGGCTCTCTACCTAACCACAACCTGGGGGTGGCAGGTGCAGGGGTGGAGGGTAGGAACCAGGGATGAAGGAAGGCAGTGAGAGCTGGACAACAGTCGGAAATGCACATTGCCCACCACAGTGAGGAGCAGACCCCGGTACCCCCAGGCCTGTGGCCCTGCCCAACATGCTTTCTGCATCTTACAGGGACTGATGGCTCATGGCCTGGGGTGGGAGGTGAAAGAGTGTGCACAAGGGGTAGTCCTAGAGGGCAACTCACAGCCTCCCAAGAAAGGTGGACAGCCGAGGGAGGGCAGGAGGGGGTGCTTGGCGGTATTGCAAGCTCAGAATCACAAGCTCGGCCGTTTGCAGGGACAGAGTGTGCAGTCCCTGGGCTCAGGGAGACTCCGTTGGGACCACTGACCGGCGGGGTGACGGAGCCGCGGCTGGGCAGCAGAGTGCTGGGTGTGCACTCACAGACGGTCCATCCGGAAGGTGTCCTCGGTGGCTGGGTCAGCCAGGACCATGTCAGGGTCATTGAGCATGTGCAGTCCATCCAGGGTCAGGGGGTCAATCTTGAGTTCATCCAGAGGGAACTGGCTGTCAGTGTCGAAGTTGACATCACCAACCCCAACCAGCGTGCTGGTCAGTTCTTTAGAGAGGCTGGGAGGGGACTCTCCTGTCACTGAATTAGGGGGACACAAAAGTCAACTCAGTCTTAGTTCCCTACCCCCACACCAGGGAAGAGGGCTTGGCTACCCCAGGGAACATTTTTAGTTGCCAGGACTGGGGAAGGGGGTGATACTAACATTATATGGAGACCAGGGACACTGCTCAACACCACAATGCACAGGCTGGCCCTACCCAGGAGATCCAGCCCAGACATCAGCAGGAAGTCCCCTCCTGTCAGAGAGGCAGGCTGGGCATGTGCATCTAGGGCCCTCCCTGTCTGGTTCCTATACAGAGACCCTAGTTCAAACCTGGACTCCCTCCTCTATCAGTTTCCCCATCTAGGAACAAGTATAAAAGTCTCCATCTTGACCAGCCAGAGTTGCTCAGTGGTTGTCAACCTGTGAACCAGGAGGTCACAGTTCAATTCCTGGGCAGGACTCATGCCTGGGCTGTGGGCTTGTTCCCCAGTGGGTTGCATGCAGGAGGCAGCCAATCGATGATTCTTTCTCAACATAATGTTTGTTCTCTCTCTCTCTCTCCCTATCTGAAATCAATAAACAAACACATGCTTAAAAATATCCATCTTTCTGGACTGTCAGGTTATCATGGGGGCCTGGTCCTCTTTGGGTACCTGAGGCACCTTCAGGGTAGGGAGGAAGTACTGGGTCTATACTTGGGGTCCCGTCCTTGGGTGGAAGGGGAACTCTGGGCATAGACTCATCCATCCTGGAGATGTGAGTGGGGACCACCAAGGGAGGTCCCACACAGCCCTAGCTTATTAGAAAACTACTTCCTTCTTCAATAAAACCAAGAACCTTCAGTGGAGGGAAGCAGGGTGATCAGGTGGAGAGGGCTTCACAGGTCTGGGCTCTGCTACATGGAGCAGAACTCCCTCACACACACTGTGCATGTCCCCAGGCACCTGGCACTATACACTGGCCTTTTAAGACACACATGGCAGCATATATAAACTGTCACACTCCTATTGACTACACAGGAAGCACCCCTCCTGTCATGCAGGGCTCACCCCCTGCCATGGTCACCTATGTTCCCAACACACTCAGCTAACGTGTTCGGGTGCCAGGGTGGCAGGCATAGGGCTGGGAGAGCGACTGGCTCTCTCTAGTTCTTGATCTGAGCACAAGGTGCTGTATGCCAAGGTGTGGGCTCCAGGTGTATGTCCCCCTTGCCAGTCTGCAGCCCAGCAGCGAATCAAGGTTAGAACAGGGGTCTGGTCTCTCTGGGTCCACACCAGACACCTCAGTTGTGTCATGACTCACCCTACAGGGCAGGGAGTTCCATCTCCCCCAGGGCTGAGACCTATGACAGGGACACCAGGACTGAGACCCCTGCCCAGGACACCTCAAACAGGACCTCACCTGTGAGAATGATGTTGGGGATACTGCTGTGGCTGGGATAACCAAGCTGCTGTGGGTCTTGCAGGCTCCCGTGGCTGCCTGTCAGGCCCATCATGGCCGCCTGCGAATAGTTGAGTGTAGAACCCGGGCTGTACAGACTGCTGGAGCTGATGGCGGTCTCCAACATGTTGAACTGCTCCAGCTGGAGGGGACACAGGGTGTGAGGCTGGCCACTGAGCACTGCTGCTGTGGATGGGCTGCCTGAGACTTCGGGACCACCTCTTCTGCAGGATGCCTAGGTCCACCCTCGTGAGGGCTGCTCACACAAGTCCCTCTGCCTGGGGTATCGCCCTCTCCTAATCCACACGGGCCTGCCCACATACACACCCTCAGGGCTTGCAGGATGGATGGATGGATGGATGGATGAATGGTTGAGTAACCAGCTCCAGGCAGCGGCCAACCCCTCCTGTGCCCACATGCCTGATTCTGGCCTCCACACAAAGCCAACTTGACCTCCCGCAAACTCACATGCACGGCCCACGCCAAATGCCACCGTGACAGCCACTGCCCGTCCCTGTTGGCGTTCACTGACATACCAGATGCATACGCCAGGGGAGGCAAAGGCAGTCACATGCTCCACTGCCTGCAGACAGGAGGTGCTAGGAGCAGAGCTCACTCCCGAGGGCGGGCGGGGTCCGGGCAAGCATTTGCTGAGGGCGCTGTGGCCCGGGCACCTGCTCACCTGGTGGGACAGAGCATTGGCCTGCCTGGCCGCCATCTGCTGCTCACAGTACGAGTCCCCAAACACGCTGCCCAGGGTGGAAGAGTGCTGCAGATAGAAGAGAGGCTTGCTGTTGTCATGATTCCCAAGACTAGGTTGGGGGGAGGAGGGGAGCTCCTACAGGCCAGTTGATCCCACAGGGAGGCCCCTGAGACCTAGTGAAGGATGCACGAGACAAGGGAGGTGGATGACAGCTATTCCAGGGCGCCTACACTGAGCTGGCAAACTCCCGCATCTCAGGATGATGGCTTCTTTCTCCTGCCTGCTGGGGGCAGGGTGGCTCTACAGCCTGACATTTCCCAAGAACGCCACCCCCCCCCATCTCTGTTCCTTAAGCTCAGATGTAGGTGACCTCCTTTCCGTCAGACAGAAGATGAGGGAATGGGGGCTATGAGGATCAGGAACCCCGACAAGACCCAGAGGAAAGCATGTAACTGGAGCCAAGGCACAAGGCTCCCTAGATATTCAGAATGAGACGAGCACTTGGTGAGACCCCCTGTCCACACATGTGGACAGGATGGGTGCAGAACAAACATAGGACAGGCACTCAGAAAGCCCCTCTCACCTGCTGACTCCTGGAAGCCTGCCCTCGAGACCCCAGAGCTCACTGGTAGGCATGCAGCCCCATTCCTGCTTGTTCAAGGCTGACCAGGGAAGGGGGCTGGGAGATGATCCTGGGAGAGAAGCAGGGGGCTAGGACCTCAGAGGTGGTGGAGACACCAGATAGAGCTTGGAGCCCCTGCCCATTCTGGAGATTCTGCCAGGGATGGCAGGATGGAGCCTGGCAGGATGTGGGAGGGAGAAAAGGGATGGCTGGTGTGTGTCCCGGCTGCACCTGAAACACCAGGCCTGGACAGATATATACCCAGCCCGGACCCAAAGTGTCTCTCCTGCAGGACAGGGTATCTCATGGAAGTTGCTGCACCATGGCCATTCCCAGGTGTTACATGTGATGTGTGTGCCGAAACCGGTTTGGCTCAATGGATAGAGCGTCGGCTTGGACACTGAAGGGTCCCAGGTTTGATTCCGGTCAATGGCATGTGCCTTGGTTGCGGGCATATCCCCAGTAGGGGGTGTGCAAGAGGCAGCTGATCGATGACTCTCTCATCGATGTTTCTAACTCTCTCTCTCTCTCTCTTCCTCTCTGTACAAAATCAATAAAATATATTTTAAAAAAAACAAAAACAAAAAACAAGTGATGTGTGTGTATGGCATGCATCTTCTCAAATTTCTCCACAGATCAAAGGTCTAGAACCTTCCCTCTGAGTTCCCTGTTCTAGAAAGGTCCCCACATGCTTGACACTGGCCAACGCTTGAGTCTCAGGCTTCCATTCCAGACAAGGATTGGCCACAACCCCCCGGCTATGCCAGGTGGTCAGTGGGCTGAGAGCAGATAGGAACAGATGGCTACCCTGGTGGGCAGGGAGGCTCCTGGGGATGAATGGGAAGAGTTAAAAATTACCAGCTTCAGGTTTAAAAAAGGGCTGAAGGAGGTTTGGCTGGGGTTGCCCATGAAGGTGGCAGGTTTCTTCTGAGGCGCCTGTTCCTATCTCTGTGGGCTTGGCCGCAGAGAGGCCCAGCATGCCCAAGAGGCCCAGCATGCAGGGCACGGTTTCTCTTGTGAGGAGGCCATGAGAGTTTGCAGGAAGGTCCGCTCAGAACTGAAGAGGGAGGCAGCACACAAGACACATCTCAACTGCTTGAGGCTCAGTGCATCTGCTCCAGGCCTGGGAGCAGAGGCCCTTGGGGCCGGTGATTGTGTCCTGGAGGACTCAACCTACAGAAGGAAGTCAGGTCTGCCCTCTGCCCAACATTGTCCCTCTAAGCCAGTGTCTCTGGTTGGGGTCAGAGACGCTGATGGCCTCGTCTTCACACCTGAGTTAGCAGCCTGCATCCCTTGACAGATGGATTGACACATAGACGGTGGCTTGACATGACAGGAAAAGGCTCTGCCGGGGATGGATCACTTTGGTGGAAACAAATCTCTCCTGAAAGAAATCTACTTGACCCTCAAATTCCTGTCCTGCTTTGAATTAGAGGGATGCTACTCAGGGATTGTCCCCAGGGAGAGCTGCCCATCTCGGACAGGTCCCACCTGCTGCCACCCCTAACAGGTTCAGCTTTTCCAGCCTGCTATATCCCCCAGCACCACATGATGAGACCACTTTCTGGGAGCCATAAGAACTCAGAGCTGTGGTGCATGAACAGAGAGCATGGAGACATCAGGCCAAGCCCCGGCCTGTCCCAAGCTGACTGCCACCCTTCCGGCCTGCCTATGGAGCAAGAGGCTGCACACTGACAGTCCCAGCATGATCCCTGGTGGGTGTGGGTGTGGAGGCAGCATCCTCTAGCAGATGAAGCCTCAAGTCCTCCCTGAATGGGATGTCCACTGTCCCAATACATGTCTGGGTTCAGCGTGCACGTGTGAGCTGGGGGCAAGGGCTGCCTGTCTAGAGGGGCAGCTCTGCTCCTTGCTCTATGCAGAAAGGCAAATCCTATCTTCCCTCGGCTGAGAATAAGGGTTGGGACCTGGGGCACTGCAGAGACTCCTAGGGGTTTCTCAACTTAGTGATATTTTGGAGACTGAGGGACAGAGTCCTGGAGAGGCTTCACTGTAAGCAAGATGTCTTGGGCCCAGATGTCAGCTTCTCAAGCACCCCTTCCCCTCTGATGGAACATTCTGGATGGAATATGACTACGGCCAAGTGAGGTTGAGAAGGAACCTGGACAGGGGATGTGCATGTTAGATATTAGGGACCAATTGTGCCAGGTGTGGGAGGGTAACCTGCATCTGAGAAGGTTGGTCAAGTCCTGCCTGTTGCCTAGGGCCTAGGGTCAGCCTGCCTCATCTGTGGAAGGGGGACAGGACCTGACAGGCTAGAGTACTGTTTAGAGAAGCTTTCTGGGGGACACACCTTCCTATGGGATAAAGGGTAGGGAAGGGGGTGCGTAGTCAGCACCTGCACAACTGGCTGTCACATCAGCTGTACTCCAAAGCAAGGGGAATATCCCCCCCCCCCCTTTCAAAAGCCTCAAGATACCAGGCCTCAGGGTGGTCAGATGTAGGTGAGGACATGTGAACAGGCTATTGGATGACATGTTTGAGCGACACTTGGGGCTGTCCCCAACCATGGATGAGGAGCTGGAGTGTGGCTGACACTGAGATCCTGTATGTGCCCTGACTAGGGATTAAACCCACAACCTTGGTGTATCAGGACAACACTCTAACCACTGAGCTACCTGGCCAGGGCTGGCACTGAGATCTTTAACAGGCTAAGGAGCTCACCACCTCCAGCTGGGGCACAGACCAGAGGAGCAGCAGGAACGAGGGGCAGCGTTTTCGCCTCCCAGCTCATGGAGTGGACGAGATGGGATGATGTGAGGCACGAGGCACAGATGGCGGGCAAGGGCACAGGGGGGTGAGGTGAGCTGGGGATGGATTGGCGCATCCCTTACTTGTGGGGAGCTCCCAGGGGAGAAGCCTTGATTGGAGACAGGTGAGGTGGGAGACTGGTTGGCCGGGGAGCCGGCACTAGTGCGGTACTGCTGCAGAGCCGGGGCCTGCGATGACAAACAGGTCAGGACATGGAGGCCCCAGCCCGGCTCCCAGCTGAGCCTCCCACAAGCCCCCACCCCTCAGTGAGCAGAGGACCTGGGGCCAGAGCGTGGGGCCTCAGGGGTACCTGTCTCCAAACCCAGCTCCCAGGTGTGGGGGGCTGGAGACAGAGAACCTAGAACTGAGTGTCATGGAATTGTCCTGACGGGCTGTTGGGGAGTAAGGTTTGGGTCCACCTCGATTCAACATGCTTCAAAACACCCACACTACATACATGTGCACATAGCTACACACATGCACCCTCACACACACGAAGGCAGAGATGGCCTAGGACTGGGCAGGTAGGCATTGCCTTTTGCTCCTGACTCTGGATGGATCCCGGGTTCTCTCAGTCCTGAGTCTGTACAGGCACATTCTTCCCACCTCAAGGTGTGGTACTGACAGCAGGGCTCCCAGCACTGAGAAGTCACCATCACTGGTGTGGCTTAGGACAAGCCTGATGGGGTCAGGCTCTCCAGAGACCTCAGAGGGCTGGCTACCTCCTCGTTCAAAGGCAGAGGACCCTGGCTTCTTACCAGGCCCTGGTTTCTCACCACAGAAGAGACAGGCTGGGCCAGGATCTGGATTTAAACCCTGCCTGACCTCTCTGAGCCTGCTGTTCACGGAGGCCCGGATAGCCAGCCCAAGGCCCTATGAATGCTCAGTCTCCATTTCCTCAGTGATCTACTCTGAGCAGCTTGTGATGGAAGTTGAGCCTGGGTGGGGCATGGGAGCTCAATTAATAGGGTGTGGGTGGCACTGTCCAGAGAGATGTTCTTGCCTGGGAGAGTCTGCAGAAAGTCTGGAGGAGACTGCCTGTGCCCCAAGGGAGCCAGGAGGCCCTGGGGGTACCAGGAGATAGACTCTCTGACCCGGGAGCCTGGGGAGGCACTGTGTGTGCACCCCACAATGTCCACCCAGCTCCTTAGCCAGGCCCTACTACAGGAGGGTGTTGGGAAACTGGGTGCCCAGGTCAGCCCCAACATCAGAGCTGACCCCACACTTGCTGTGTTAATGCTAAAGGAAAGGTTTGGGTGCTTTCCTGTGTGTGGGGGTGCCTGCTTGCTGAGAGGTTGGAGCGGCTTGGAAATGTGGGTCTCTACTGTTAGGTCACTGCTGGACCACCAGCTTAGGTGGAGGGGCGAGGGGGCTGTTTTTTGCAGAGCACGTGATGCTCCGAAGGCTATACCCCATGGCTGTTAGCTGAGGGCTGAATGGGGAGGGCTCACTATGCCCCAAACATGGGTCTCTGTTCCTCTGGATGTGGCCAAAGGTAGCAATGACCACTCCCTTCCCCCCAGAGAAATGAGGGTGAAATTCTGAACAATCAGGAAGCTTTGGGTTTACAGAGTTAAAAACCTAGCTCAGCCCTGGTAGGGTATCCAATGGTCTGAGCTGCAGCCTCTGGCTAGGCACAGAGTCCCAAGGTTTGGCCGCAGCTCCCCTGCCGCAGCCCAGGAACTGGGCCCCATGGTCCCATCCTATAATGGAGCTGCAGCCCTGGTCCAGGCAGGGGGGGTCCCAGGTCTGAGCTGAAGCCCCCGGCTCAGTCACTGTGCTGCATCCCTGCCTCTCCTCCAAGTTCACCCCCTACTCTCTGGCTGGCAGATGCTGTTCCTCTGGCCCTGAAAACTGTGCTCTCCTTACCTCCAGGGAAGCCCGTTTTGGATGGGAAGGGCAGGGGCAGGTATCAAGGGCCATGGGGAATGGCTTGGCAGCCAGATGTGGGTAGCCAAGATTTGGTTTGGGGCACTGATACGTGCTTGTGCCTTGGTTTCCCCATGTATACATGGGGTGACATCCTCAGCAGAAATTCCATTTGGTGCTGAGCCCTGGCAGTGTCTGCTTCAGCCCCAAACCCTAGCAAGTTGGCCTCCAAATGGAACCTGGAGGTGGCTGCAGACAAAACTGGGCACCCAACTCCCTCTGGGTCCTGGGCACCCAAGGTAGCCTCCCACAGCCCCACATTCCTCCTGCATGACCCCACAGCCAGGCCCCAAAGCCAGGCCTCGATGACCATGTCCTGGGCTTACCGAGGCGATGTCGATTCCCATCGGTGGCTGGCCTGGGTTGTCGGGGGGGGACTGGGGGAGAGAGGATGGCACTGTGACCAGGAGCGGGGGCAGCTGGGGTCCCTGCGTCAGACTCGTGCTCGGCATCAGGGGACTGCCTGGGGGAAGGCTGATGGGCACCTGTGGAGGTGGTGGGGAAGGCTGCTGCTGGGATACTGGCGGCGGGGGTGGCGGGGGCTGGGGCTGCGGTGGAGTTGATTGCTGGGAGCCTGCCTGAGTGAAGAAGGCGTAGGGCAGCTGTTGCTCCAGAGATAGGGCATCCATTGCCATGGCCTGTGGAAGAGAGAGAGGGGCATCAGATTCAGGAGTCAGCAGTGGGGGCCAGGCCACAAGCACCTGGCCTCTGAGGGGCGCTCATGGCCTGGCAAGCTCAGCAACGATGTGATAGATGAACAAAGAGACATCCACACCCTGGACCTGGGAGGCACAGGCCTAAACAGGGCCTCACCTAGAGCTATGGAGGATCAGTGGACCTGGGCATTTAATCCAGCTGGCTGCACCCTACACCCAACCCTCACTGCACACAGAGGTAGCCACAACCTTCTGTATTAACATAGGCTCAGGAAATTCTGGCCTCTCTGAACTGAAGTTTCCCCACTGCAGGCAGGCACCACGTATCACACTATGGAAACCTAGAGGGTGGCCAGCACCTAGCCCCCTCGGAGAGGGGAAGGGACTGCTCATCACCATCCTGCAGCCTGGTTCTCTTGGGGAGGTTAGAGAGGTTGCGAGTGATGAAGGTACTGATGGAGCCAGAAGGTGATAACAAGTTCAAACTTCTCAGAGTTGGAAAGAGGAAAATAAGCAGAGGAAGTTTTCAACAGTCATGAGTCTGTGCAGAGTCCCTGGGATATGCAGGAATCCTGCCCTGTGATGGAGGCAGTACATGCCCGGGAGCTTAGCAGATGCCTAATCGCTAGTAAGTACTTTCCAGAAAGCAAGCAAGCCTGAGAGCCCGGGGGTGGAGAAAAAGGGCAGGGGTCACAGATGCAGAGAGTGATGACACAGCTGCTAGAAAAATGATCATGGCTCTTCTGGATCCTGATCTGAACAAGACCACTGTACAAGCAGACACAGGGGAACCAGGCCCAGAACAGGCATCAAAATGTGTGAATGACTTAATTTTGTTTTAAGTGAATCATGTCACCAAGGTTATATTTAAAAAACAAAGAACAAAAATGTATCTGTCAGCCCTAGACGTTTTGGCTCAGTGGGTAGAGTGTCGGCCTGCGGACTCAAGGGTCCCAGGTTCGATTCCGGTCAAGGGCATGTACCTTGACATCCCCCAGTGGGGGATGTGCAGGAGGCAGCTGGTTGATATTTCTCTCTCATCAATGTTTCTAACTCTCTCTCCTCCTTTCCTCTCTGTAAAAAAAAAAATTTTTTTAAAAATCAATAAAAAATATTTTTTAAAAAATGTTTTCTGTCAGGGATTTTAAAGAAATAGTCAGGCCTTGCTGAAACCGGTTGGCTCAGTGGTAGGGCATCGGTCTGCGGACTGAAAGGTCCCGGGTTTGATTCCGGTCAAGGGCATGTACATTGGTTGCGGGCACATCCTCAATAGGGGGTGTGTAGGATGCAGCTGGTCGATGTTTCTCTCTCATCGATGTTTCTAGCTCTCTGTCCCTGTTTCACTCTCTTCCTCTCTGTAAAAAATCAATAAAATATATATTTTTTAAAATAGGCCTTAATTTGTGTGGCTCAGTTGGTTGAGCGAGGTGTCACTGGTTTAGTTCCCAGTCAGGGCACATATCCAGGTTACAGGTTTGATCCCCAATTAGGGTGCTTTTGGAAGCAATCAATCAATATTTCTTTCTCACAGTGATGTCTTTCCCCCTCTCTAAAAAGAAATGAAAACATGTGTTTAAAAATTTAACAAAATAGACAAATTCCTAGAAACACACAAATTACCAAAATTGACCCAAGAAGAAATAGAAAATATGGGTAGACCTATATCAAGGAGGTTGAATCAATAATCAAAAGCCTAGGTAAAAACCTAGCTCAGCCTTTGTAGAATATCCAATGGACTTTTATCTCAGTGAAGATAAAAGCTCAGACCTCAGGTGGCTTCGCTCATGAATTTTACCAAACATTTAAAGAATTAATACCAATGCTGCTCAAACTCTTCAAAACAAACAAACAAAAAACAGAAGAGGAGGGAATGCTTCCTAACTCATTCTATGAGCCTCAACTAAGTAAACAAGATAATTAAATTACTAAAATCAGAAATGGAAGTGGGAACGTTACTACCAACTTTACAGAAATATGAGAGAGTACTATCACTATGAACAATCATACACCAGCTTGCTGCGTGACCTAGATGAAACAGGCTAATTTCTATACACACACCATTACCAAAAAATCAAAATGACATTAAATAAGGGGAGAGAGGGGGATCTCTCTAAAATTTTATTTTGGAAAATTTCAACTAGATCCTAAAACAGAGAAAGTACCATAATTGAAATATGCCCCATTCACACAACAAATGCTAACGTAGGACCTGCCCATGATGGCACAGGGGACTCCAGGCCACTCGTTAATGCATTTCTCATGTGTTTAAAAAATTGACAAAAAGCCAATAATGTCAGGCCGTTTTTAAGGTCTCCCTGGAAGGAGTAGGAGGCCTCCCAGAGGCCGTCCCCCACCCCACTGCGCCCTCGAACCTGAGTGATGGGTGACAGCGGGGAGAGGGTGGGTGACACCTGCTGTGCCTGCTGCTGCCGCCGTGTCTCCGAACTCAGGGACAGTGGGCTGACGTTGGCCGGACGGTGCTGCGGTGAAGAGCCTGGAGTGTTCATCCCTGGAAGGAAGGAAGGGTTGGCATGACTCCAGCCTCCAAAGGGCCACTCATACACTCCAAAGGGCCACTGCTGGGGACAGCTCAATTGCTCAGACATAAGCCAGTGGCATGACCTGATTGCCAAATCCAGGATTCCACCTCCAAGATCCTGGGGACCCCAGCTCTATGTGGTCTCTATTCTCCTTCCAAAATCCCATGATGACCAACACCCTCCCTACTGATCCTGCCATCCCTCCAGGAGGGATGTGTCTTGAAGGTTCTGCTGGGCAGCATGTTTCTGCCTCTGGACTGCCACATGATGGGCCCTTAGATGGACATGTGACCAGGCTGATCCAATGAGACTGACCTAGGATTTCTGATGGAACTCCAAGAGAGGCTGGAGGGGATGGGGGGGGGAGAGGGAGGGAGGGAGGGAGGGAGGGAGGGAGAGAGAGAGAGAGAGAGAGAGAGAGAGAGAGAGAGAGAGGGAGAGGGAGGGAGGGAAAGGGAGAGAGAGGGAGAGAGAGAGGGGGAGGGAGGGAGGGTTGTGTGAGATTCTGTGGCTGGAAGGGGAAGGATAAGCTGGAGAATGAGGTGGCAGAGGCAGCACCTGAGCCCCAGATGCAGCTACACTGGCACTTCCCCTCTTTGGGAGACAATCAATCTACTTTCTTCCCTAAACTGGTTTGGGTTTTGGTTAGCTTCAAGCAAGTCAGTCTTGCCCAACACTGCAGTTTCCTCTTGACCTTCATGCCCTCCTCACCCTCATTCAATGCACATGTCCTTTCTCTTAATTGCTCTTCCGGCCAGATTTCCTCTCAACCCTGGATTTGTATAACTGGCATCCCCTCTGCCTCCCCATCTCACTTCCACCCTCCCCTGCTCCTCAGTGTATTTTCCAAGCTGGACCATTAGCTCCACTGGCATGCCTAAGCTAGAAACTCAGTTACGCTTTATCTTCTTCCAAAACCCACATTCCTGATGGAGCTCCTGCCAGAGACTCCACATCCTCCTCTCCCCTTGGCCCCCTCCCCCAGTAACCCAATCCCTGCATACAACTGTTGTGAAGGACTTGAGTGAGGTCAAATTCAGTGTGGCAGCATTTGGGGCTTATGTTATCCCAGGGCACTGTGCCAGACAGGCAACAGGCCCGCTGATGCAACGAGGAGCCCTGGGGGCCTGGCCTGACCACCCAGACTCTGTTTCCATATCCTTGAGATGGAGATGATATCAGCTGTCCTTGCCAGTTAATTGTGAGGCTTTAATGAATTGAATTGTGAGTCAAGGCCAGTGAAGGTGCCTAACTCATTCATGGGAGCCAGGCCCAACCTGGCAAGAGCACCAGATCAACCTTGTTCCAGCAGGTAAGATGACAGGTTCACGGGCCAGTTAGAATGCACCCAGTGTGCACTGAGAGATGATGGGCAGCTGCTTGCCGTGTCATCCATGTGAGGAGAGCCAGGTCACTTCCCCTTGGATGCCCTGGTGGCTCCTCCTGGCCCAGCAATGCGGGGCACCTGGTGCCATAGATTGCTCCTGAGGCAGGACCTGGGGATCCAATTTCTGCACAGACTTTGGGACCCAGAAATCAGGCTGCTATGGACACAGGGACATCAAGGGAGCCAGGGTCAGAGGCCTGGGCAGGAGTCCAGGAGACACCTGCTCAGAGCACAGTTGGAATGGGTACCCTGGGCAGTTCCCTCACCACCTCTGAGTGTCCGTCACTTCATAGGTCCAGCAGGCTGAGGAACATGTGACACAGCAGATGTCAGTGTTCAGTAAGCAGCAGAGTCAAATACCAGGAGTGAGAGGAGCGGTGGGTGACAGGGGCAGGTGGGCCCGTGGTAAACTGGAGTTCTCTGGCCCACCTTGGGGCATAGGATCTTGACCCACTGCTGCTAGGCCTTCTGATTCAAAAGAAACCAGAAATCCAGGTTTGTACATGAACTCTCCTGAAGCTTAAGTATCTATTCAAAGCGCCACACACACAGAGTCGTGGGATAGACAAAATACATCACTGGGCTGGATTTGGCATTTGGGCTGCCAGCCTCTAACATCTGCCCTGAATACAAAGGTGGTTTTGAATCCTCTGCTGAACTGCAGAGTGAGCTCCTGGCCTCACATGGGGGCCCGAGGGTGGACGAATGCCTTATTGTTGAATTCTTTTTGGCAACCTGGGTTACCTTTGGGAAAAGGAGTGGGGCCAGTTGGAAGGGAAGTCTGGGCAGGCAGGGAGAGCTGCCAGGGGAGGACAAGCCAGGTAAGAGGGGCCCATCCTAAGACACATGAGCCCTGAGTGCAGGAGCGGCCAGGCAGAGCAGTGCCAAGGAGGAGGACCCAGGCCTATTGTCCTCCCAGGTCCTAGCAGACAGCCAGGGAACTGACTTCAGCAAATGTGGAAGGGGTCGAAAGGGGCCGCTGTCTCCCTTTCTGATGGGGAGGCCTCTTCCTTCTCTTGGGCTCATGATCTGACTGTTGGGTGAGCTGGGGCGGTGGGGGGTGGGGGGCAGTCTCCATGTGTGCCAGAAGCTTAGGCTCAGCTCGATTTAAAACGCACTCAGAAAGCGAAGCCCCTGTCAGGCGAGCCGCTGGAGCGGCAGGTTTGAAAACAATCCAACACATGTCAGACATCACTGGCAAATACTAGAACCAGGTGGCGAGGGTCTGATCCCCGCCCCCGGGTCCCCCTCCCATATGCAGCCGATTCAGGGTCTGCAGCTTTCACATGTGCTTGTTTCCCTGGGCTTGTTTAGACTCTGCTCAGGTCAGAAGTGCACAGCTCCTGGTGGGCGCTGGGGGCTGCCAAGGACTCTTGGTGGAGGGGGCTGGTCCTCTGGAGGCCAAAGTCAGAAGTGGGGGGAAATGGGGCCAAGAAACGGCAGTGTCAGCATCAGCCAGGGAAAGCGGGGGTGGAGGGGGGCCGTAGTCCCAGAATCAACCTTCCACTCTCTTCCTTTGCATCCTGGTCTCTAGGGGCCATGGGTCTTGGGCTTCCCTGAATCTATTCATTTGTCTTTGGGCCTTCCGGGGTGGGGGGCGGGGGGCGGGTTGTACATGGCTGGGATGGTGCCCTTTGCTCTGTAGCTAAGCCTGGGTGGGCATAGGGCCAGGGGCAATCTCAACATCCTCAGGCCAGAGTCCCACTCCTCTCTTCATTGTCTGGCTTCCATCCTCTTATCTAAAAACCTAGGAACATGGTACTGTTTCTAACACACCTCACATTAGCAGGCCCCATGGGCACCAGAGGTAGGACTGACTCTCCACCACTCCTCCCATCAACCCAGCTCCCAGGCCAGCCAATTTCCCCCCGAAATCTCTCTTCAGAGTGTCTGATGGGGCCCTGCCTTGGTCTAGGTGTGGCCTCCCCTCTGACAGCCTGTTCTCCCCGGGCAGTCAGTGTACTTGCAAGTGAACGTGACTCTGAGCATGTGATTATCTCAAAAAGTGCTGCATGATGCTGCCACCACACTCAGGGTGATGAACATGTGAATGCGGCTGATCTGTGGTCCCTGGGCAGGAAGAAGGGAACATGAGGTAGTGCTCTCACTGACCACCAAGCCTGATAGCTTTGGGCTCACAGAGGGGCCCCTTGGGCCCTCTTGCTCACTGGGGCTGCTAGGAGCAAACCCACACATCCCACAGTCAACTCAGTGCAGGGGGGGTGCAGGGGAGTGAGGCTTAGCCCAGGGGACAGCGAGAACAAAATAGTAACTCAGGGTGAGTACAGAAAAGCAAAAAAGCAAAGCTGTGTAAGACGCCAGGTGGAGGGTGTAAGCTATGGGAAGGTGGTGTGAGCAGAGATGGGGCAGATGAGGGGCCCCTGAAGCCTAGAGGAAGAGGAGGACCAGGGGGGAGGAACGGCATGTACAGAGGCCCCATGGTGAGCTCATTAGCTGGAGAGGAGAGGTGTGGGAGGTGAGGGGCTATGCAAGGACCCGAGCAGCGGAGGGCCATGAGCTGACAGCTGTTCTGGGTGAAGAGGCTGGGACTGAGAAGGGAGTGGCAGCGGGGGAGGCTATACAGAATGAGGGTCCGAGTTGGGCTGGGTCCTGATGGTGGGGCTAACAGACATGCCAGTTGGTGAGGGTGGACAGGAGGACAAAGGGAGAGTCTGGTGGACCCCACTCTCTAAAGGTCCCAGCACTCCTCACAACCACTGTCCCATCCCTAGAGACAACATGAGCCTTCCCATTGTGGGCCTTTTGCCCAGGCTGTGCCCTCTGACCTAACACCACTCGCCTTGGGATAGCCTAGTAACACCAAGCCCCCAGTAGGCTCTGCTCCTACTTTATGCCCAGAATTTTGGAAGTGACCCTGCTCAGTCGTATTTCTCTCTCTCTCTTTTTTTACACACACACACACACACACACACACACACACACACACACCCCGTCCTTGCTAGCAGGTGAACTCTGCCATGGTAGGAAGTGTCCTCGCCCTCCCGGCCTTACCCTGGCCAGTGCTGCCGATGCCCAGATGTGTCAGGTTGGCAGTGAGGTTGCCGGTGCTGCTGGAACTGCTGAGCGCTGGGAAGGTGGGCTCCTCAGGGTCCAGCGGGGTTGGAAGTGGGGAGGGGAAGTGGATGTTGGTCAGGTCAGGCAGGGAACCCCCGGTGTTGTGGGTGGTAGGAATCAGGGCTGTAGTGTTTTCCTGGTCAGCAGATGGAAAGATGCTGGGAAAAGGCCAGACATAGGGGAGTTGACCTCTTGGACTGTGACTGCTGGTTCTCCCCCAGAAACTGTGGTGGCAGTAGTGGGGGATGTAGGGGGTGGGGGGCTTGCAAAAAAACCACACTAATTGGTGCAAAAGGACATCCTGCCATCAGATGCTGTCATGCTTGAGAAACAACCATCAACCCAAACCTCCGATGGGAAGCAGTCTATCCTGCAGGGCATGGAGAGGGGATTGGATGAGGGTCCTCCTGCTGTCTGAGGACAGTGTGTCTAAGGGGTGGAAGCATCCCCCAGGGCAAGCCTTGCTGGATGGCCACCTGCAGCTTAGCATCCCTCTTGTCTGGACTTTAGCCTCTCGTGAACAGGGGGAACTGGAGTGGGGTTACTGGCTGAGCAGCCCCTGGTGGCCGTAGGCATGCAGGGCAGGTCCCACTGTGACTTACTTGATTCCAGGGACCTCACAGGACTTGGGCCTGGACCCTGTCTGAAAGAGAAGACAGCAGAGGCTCAGCAGCCTCCTCATAGCATGTTGATCTCCCCAAGAGGGGTGAGTGATGCTCAAGGAGAAGCAAGCTTATAGGGTCCAGGGAGTCCCACAGATGAAGAGCGTCCCTAAGAGATTGTGTGTGTGTGTGTGTGTGTGTGCGTGCGCGCGCGCGCACGCGTGCGCCCCAGACATGCCCAGGGGCTAAACCAAGAGTTAAGTGGAGAGGATCTCCCTATGGTCCCTCCCAGCTTCACTGTGTCTGCCTGGTAAGGTGGCACAGCCCAGGCAGGGGTGATGTGGTGCCTTGTCAGAGCTGGTGTCCCGGGGGGATCGTGCTGCCTGCTCTTTGTATCTCGGCCCCTCAGGCTGTGCCACAGCTGTTGGCCACCAGGCTCTGTAGAGTGGAGACATGGGGGCTGAGGCTAACCCCTCCTATCTTCCTGGATCAGGATGGGAAGGAGAAGGAGTCTCAGGGCAGAGACTGCCTCTGCTCAGCATCTGTCTGTCCACCCCCAGAAAGAGCATCATGTGGGGAAGCCTGAGGCAGCTTGGACTGGTTGCCCTGAAACAAAGAGGCTGCCACTGTGGCCTTCCTCTGGTGCCTAGAGGTTTAACTCCCAGGGGGACCCCAGTACGCCACCACTTGAGGACCAGAACTCTGGCCACCCTGTAGGCTAGCCCAGGAGGAGGGGTCCTAGGGAAACGCTGGTCAGTAAGACCTCTGTGAGCTAGAGCAGCGGTCACCAACCAGTGGTCCATGGACAGCTGCTGATCTGTGAGGTCTGAAAGGTTGGCGGCCGCCGAGCTAGAGACACTGTTGCCACCAGAGATCTGCAGGCTCCAGGCCAGGCCTCTAGATTCTCATTCAAGGACAAAACAAATAACTCCCTTCCTAAGGCAGCAGACAAGACAGGACAAAGCCTGCATGCTGACAGGAATTCCTGTCTGCCTCTGGGGCCCTCAGGTAGACACTCCTGTTGATGTGTTCTTTAGGGATTACCAGACAAGAACTTGGACCCACTGGGGAGGGCTGGGCCAGCCCACAAACACACCCAGTGAGAAGGGAATGCCTGACTGGCAGTAACTGGGCCGCCTCAGGAGGCTTGTGACCTTGAGCTTTTGTAGGAAACTGGGTTGAAGGGGTTTCTACATGGCCACAGGCTCCTTACCTCTGGGAATAAACATTAGCTTTATTGCTGGATTTTTGCAAAGCACCTTGACAATGACTTTCTAAAGAATCTTTTGAAAAACATTCCACATACACATTATTAAGAATTCACACACCCTTTGCCAGTGTTTCTCAGTAGAGTGTCGTGTCAGCCCCCCACTAAAAGATTGTGGGTTCGATTCCTGGCCCCAGTCAGGCAACACACAGGAGGCAACAAAGTAATGTATCTCTCACATTGATGTTTCGGTTTCTCTTTTTCTCTCTCTTTGCCCCTCCTTGCTTCTCTTCTTCTCTCTCTAAAAAGCAATGGAAAAAAATACCTATGGGTGAGGATTAAAAAAAAAATCTCACCAGCATGCTGGGCTCTGCCACCCTCTTTTGCTCCCAACACTAGCCATCTTCTCTTTCTTTATGGCAGGACCACATTCAGGTGCAGGGACCCTGATGTCCTTGTGTCATCTTGTGTAGGGGCTGTACTAATTCCTTATTCTCCAATTTTAGTGTGTGTGGTATGAAAGGAAGCACGGGATTTATTTAATTGTTTTTTAAAAACATTTTTTTACTAATTGTATTTTCAGAGAGGAAGGGAGAGGGAGAGAGAGATATAGAAACATTAATGATGAGAGAGAATCATTGACTGGGTGCCTCCTGCACGCTCCAAAACCCGGGCATGTGCCTGACCAGAATCAAACTGATCTCCGGTTCATAGGTCAATGCTCAACCACAGAGCCACACTGCGAGGCTTATTTAATTCTTTACATACCTTTCACCAGTGTAATAGGCCTGCATTTGTATTATATCAGCTGGCATGAGTGGTCAAATCTGAGTGAGGGTTTTACTTCAGGGAGGATGAAGCTCCTTCAATGTGTTGATTCATCATCTTTTTAAAAAAATATATTTTATTGATTTTTTCAGAGAGGGAGAGAGATAGAGAGCTAGAAACGTCGATGAGAGAGAAACATCGACCCGTTGCCTCTTGCACACCCCATTTGTGCCCACGACCAACGTACATGCCCTTGACTGGAATCGAACCTGGGACCTTTCAGTCCGCAGGCCGACGCTCTACCGCTGAGCCAAACCTGTTTTGGCTGCTTCATCATCTTTGCTTGGCTGTGCTTAAAAAAAGACCAAGAAAGAAACCACTTCCAAAAGCCCAAAGGCTCTTACCTTCTTGGTGTCCCATACTTGCTTGGAAAGGTTCTTGTCCGTCTCTGATGTGGTCTCCTCCATTCCTGGGACTGTTAGTAGTAAGACTAGAGTGAGGTGTGGGGAGAAGGAGAGTCAGAAAGGGAATCTCTGCAGCTGCCTGGCGGTAGCAGGAGGGCACTTCCCTGACATACAGTCATAACCATGATAATAGTGTGCCCCAACAGTGACTTCTGGGGATTGTACTAAAGTACAAAATGGAATTCAAAAAAACAAAACAAAAAAAAAAAAAAAAAAAAAAAAAAAGTCAGAGAACCTGTGACTTAAGCTCTAGAGCTAAGGACATGTGTTATTCAGCCTCCCAATGGGACTGACCCAGCCTTGGAGATGGCGGGCTACAGAGAACAGCTGAGAACTTCTCTCCGACTCCTGTGAATGGCCACTGCCCTGTGCGCACTTGACTGTCCCTCTTGGGCAATCATCACAGTGTCACACTGCTCAATGCTATTATAGATGGGTTGGGTGGAGCCTCATGGTAGCTGTGGCCCCTTAAGTTAGTTGAAATGCCAGCCAACCCTAGAGGAGGGAAAGGGGGGAAGAGAGGAGGAGGGAAGGGAAGTTCTGAGAGACTGGATGGGCCTCATTTGAAGCCATGAAACCAGTCACACCTGAAGGCCCCTTTCCTTGGACCTTTTGGTAACAGTGAGACTAAACATTTTCTTGATGAGACCCGATTTCTTCATGCCTGTTGGAGGTTCAGGCCTGCATTTGTGTTAAATCAGCTGGCATGAGTGGTCAAATCTGAATGAGGTTTTACTTCAGGGAGGATGAAGCTCCCTCAATGTGTTGAACAGAGCCAGATGGGTCAACCCCGCCTTCCTGAAACCTGGAGGGGCCAGGCTGGGGGGTGAGAGAGCCCTGACTCCCTCACTGTCTGGCCCCATACTGGAGGAATGAGGACAGGTAACATGTCCCACTTCTCCACACCCCAAGGCCAACCGGACTGTGAGGTGCCAGGGGTTCCAGGCTTACAGCTCTCTTCCAGTCACAGACCCCACCTACCCCCAAAGCCCACATTTCTTAGGAGGCCCACCATGGAGATGCCACCCCAGAATTGCCTCCCAGTACAGGAAACAGGAGGGAAGCTTCAGGCACCGTGTCCTCATCACCTCTGAACATATAGAACCCTGGCTTTTATTACGAAGACAATTCCTTCTGCAATCTCACCTTCACTACCTGGTGAGCTAGGGTCCCAGGAAGATGGAGTGCAAAGAGAGCCCCCGCAAAGGGTACAGTTCTGGTGGACAATCCTGTCAGTAGAATCTCCCTGGTGTTTACACACTTGCACAGTGAACTGCTAATAGAAAGCAATATGCATGTGGGCTTTAACTGTACATGATTAATTGTCTAGTTTCGGTGTCTTGGGGCAGATAGGCCCCTATGGGGTTTCCTGGGGCTGGCCTCATAGCATCGCATTTCCCTCTCTGGATGATGCTGCCCCAGTTTTTATGATGGCATGTGCCCTCTTGGGAAGTCCCAGTGATGCTGCCCATGCCTGGCTCCGAGGAGAGGGTGGGAGCCGGGCACAGATCTGCCCAGCTGCAGCTACGTACATGGCCCAATGGAAGAGGAGCCTCTGGGCAAGAGCGGGAAAGAACCAGCCTTTTCCACACCCACCAAGGCCTGGATGGGCCCAGGGTATGGACCATGAGGGTTCTGAGCAGCACAGCCAGGATATGGCCCAGTGTAAAGCCTCTGGTCAAGCTCTACCTGAAATTGAACATCTAGCTGTGGCTGCTTAGTCATGAGCTGACAACTGCCCCTTTTGCTTGAGCTTGCTGTCCCCAACATTTGGAAAAAACACACAAGGTTCCCAGACTGCATGGCCATGCTGAATCCATGAATAGAAGGCAATGGGTGTTTACAGGCACTGCGCTTTCTGCACAGAAACCTCCTACACACTCTTCAAAATCCAACTCAAATAGTACCATCTCTGAAGTTTCCCTGAGTGCCTCATTCCTCAGCACCAACTGACTTTTCTTCGAAGATCTGACCACCCGTGAGCTGTGACCTCTGGGTGCACAGGGACTACCACTGGACTTGCCTGACCTGAGGAAAGATGCCCATGTTCTGGCCCATACCTCTTTTCTGGTGTGCGTCCTGGGACCCACCGGCAAAGGGCTCTGGCTGGATGGGTGTCATTGTGCTCTGATGCAGGGCAGAGTCAGAATTGGTCCTGGGAGAAGAGAGAGACAGTGAGCATGGGCTCTTAAGGATGATAAAGGAGGACAGCCCTGGCTCCACTTGTCCAGGACACACCAGATGGGACAGAGTGGGGGCTATTGTACCTGAACATTATTCTTAAAAGAACCATAGGAGTGACCGTAACCATGGTTTTTGTCTGCAAAGCCTGTTTGTGAAAGAGATGTCCCTCTGTCCTAACCTGCCTGTCTGTCCCCAGGCCCTCCCATCTCCCATCCCCTGTGCACTCTCTGCTTTAGAGAAAGAACAGAGCCTTCTTGCTGAAACCTTTTTGAGAGGGGGCCCAATGAATCCACAGTGGCCAAGCCTTGTGAGTATAAGTCCCTAGCCCATCACCTAATGGGAAACAGGGTGCTAGCCTCCTGCACCCTATCCCCAACCCCCACCCCGTATTCTTACCTCTCTATGCTCAAACATTATGACAAACACCAATGGGCAACCCCACCCTCTTGGACTCTCAGTTACAAACCAGGTGTGATGGGCAGAAAGAGGAGGCAGTGACATAAGGTTCAGAGAAGGCCCCAGAAAGAATGCAGCCCCTGGGTGGGATGGGGAGGGAGTGGCATGTGTGTGTGTAGGTGGGGGTCTTGTTCCAATCAGTCCAAATGCTGCCAAGAGCTCCATCTTCCACACCAGGGTCAGGGGCGATCTGCCCCCAGCTACAGGTGCCTGGAGGGAGGACTTTCAGAACAGCCCTCAGCTGCCCAGGACACTATGGGTGCCCAAAGGTAGCTGGATGGACATGCAAAGGTCCATCAGCACAGCTAGCAATTCAGGGATGAGAATAAGAGCTGCATGCACCCAATGGGGATGACCTAGACACTGAGATACTGAGAGTGATATGGAAGAAACTTAGTTAAGAGAGAAGAGCAGGTTACAAAGGGTCAGCCAGTCTCTGATCCCAGGGCCAGCCTCCCGCACCCCATCCCCGACCCCCCACCCTGTAATCTTACCTCTTTATGCTCATTTTCCTTATATCTACAATGGGGATGATAATAGCACCTATTCCACAATGCTCTGTGTGTTTTATATCAGTTACTGTATTGATGGTTGAATAGGGCCTGATATATGATAAGTACTTGGTGGGAATTTAATTATGCTATTGAGTTAAATATATTACATATGTATGATACACATATATATTTTAAGTTTCCTTACTTTTGGTCTTTTTTTTAAACTGAAATTGCATATACACATACACATTTGCTCTGTGTGGTAAAGTATGGGTAACAAACTTTACCATTTTAACCATTTTTTTTTTCATAGTTTAAATTTATTTTAAATTTATTGATATTTAGACAGCGGGGGGGTTGGGGGAAGAAAACATCAATTTGTTGTTCTACCCATCCATGCATTCACTGGTTGATTCTTGTATATACTCTGACTGGGGATCGAACCTGCAACCTTGGCATATTGAGACAATGCTCTCACCAACTGCACTACCCAGCCAGGGCCTTAACCATTTTAAGTGTATACTTCTGTGGTATTAAAAGGATTCACATTGGGTGCAGCCATCACCTGTATTATTATAGGTATTTATACTTATTATTAATTTAGATCTTTCTAGATAAATGACATTATCGGTGTTTTTTCCTCCTTTGGGTGCATTTATTTATTTTCCTAATTTTCTAGCAATAAATGTATAATACTTTTTATAAGCACATTTTCATGAATGTTTAGCAATGTAGGAAACCACAACATTAAATGGGGGAGGGGAAAACAAACTACAACACTGAATATCCAATATAATCTCAGCTTTGGTTAAAAAAAAAAAATAGAGCTGATTTCTAAAAACTCCTAGATGCTTCTTAGTTTTGTCATTTTAACGTGACTACATATTGATTTTCCAAACACAACCAGGATGAAAATCTGGTTTTGTTTTCAACAAGAGGGCGAGGGGCTGGCTCTGGGTCACTGACCTTCTCCAGCTGGTGTCCGAGGGTGGCGAGAGATACACAGTACCATAGGGGCAGCTGTCCGCTTGAGTGTGAGTTAAGGGGTCAGTGCTGTTGACTCAAGCCCCACCCTAGCCCCAAAAACCTGGTGGCCAGGCTACTGGGAACCTGCAAACAGCTGGGCCTGCAGGGCGGGAAGGGGGTCCCTTTCCTTCCTGGCTGCGAGTGGCCCCAGGGGTGGCCCCATTCACCTAGCACTCAGCACTCACCCCCTGCGAGCACAGGTGCGGGCTACACCCCTTCCAAGAGGGGCCTCAGCTGTGAAACGGGGGCCCATGGGGACGGCAGGGAGTCTAGTTCAGATGACCCAGGTCACGACTCTTAATTCTGGGCTGATGGGCGGATCCCGGGGCCTGAGGGCTCTGTCTGGGGCCCAGCTGGTTGGGCTCCCCCAGCCACGGAAATGAGAACCAGCAAAGAACAGACTTCTCTGTTCTAGGAAGCAGGGGGGCCCAGAGCAGCACTCAGACTCTGGGGGGTGGGGCTGGCTGGCTGAGCACCAAGGGGTGGCCAAGGTCGGGCTGGGGGTGGGGGGAAACTTCTGAAGCTCTCTCTGTTTGGCTAAGGTACAGGCAGGAATTTTGTGTTTTGAGAGGGGTACACCAACATGGCCTTAATGTGTAGTCACTCTGCTCACAGCCTTCCTGGGCCCCACTGCCCAGCTGGGCATCCAAGTGCAATGTGACTCAACATCACCTCCCCCAATTCTCACCTCAGGCTGTATGCTCCAGTGGCCACTGCTGCATCCTTGTTCCCTGTATCCCTCAGTCCCCACCTAGCCAAAGGTTCTTCAGTTTGCCTCACTGCCTCCTCTGGGAAGTCCACTGGGGCGGCCCCAATCCATCCCCAGAGCTGGTAGCTCCATTAGTTAGACGAACTCAGGGCCCTGCAGTCACCAACAGGGCCCTGCCCCCCTGCCCAAGTCCTCTGGGAAAAGGATATCTGCCGTCCATGTTTGTCCACTGACAGAGGCCGGCGGTGTGGGGAGCCGAGCCGGCCGCGCTCCCGGTATACTCTGTCCACCAGCCCATGGTGCCGGGTAGTCCGGCTGGTGTCCAGGCCTGAGGACTGGAAGGGTGTCTGGGGGAGGGGCGAGGGAGAGAAGGAGATGGAAAAAAAAAAAAAATGAGAGAAACCCAAAACGGTTATCAGCTATAGCCTGTCCCCAGGATCTGACCTCATGGCCTCCCACTCCTGAGACAACCTTGGCCACCATGAGGCAACCCAGAGTGATTTCCTTCTTTGACCAGCTCCCGGCCTCCTAGCACTATGGGGTTGGGGGCAAGTTGAGGACCCTGGGCACAGAGATGGCAGGCGTGCAGTGCGGCAGGCATGCACAGGCCAGGCAGAATGACACAAGCTCGGGGCCAGTGCTGGCTAGGGTGCCAGGGGTGCAGATGGCCTGAGCAGTCCCCAACCCCCAACCCCCACCCTCAGCCTCACCAGGTGCAGACAGGCCTCCGCCTTCTCTCTCGGGCCTGGCTGGCCTCTTTTTCCCACCTACGTCATCCCTGGAGGGGCTGCCAAGAGACAGCCCAAGGCTCCAGCCAAGGATGTCAAGGGCCCCCTGGCCAAAAGCTGGCTCCCTGGAGGCTCCTTGTTGAGCCTGGGGTCAGCCTCAACTAAGATGCAGCCCTCAGTGCTCTCCACCACATCCTGGCAACACCATGAGCCGAGCGAGTGCAGGCACTTTTTGGGGCCCTAGCCCTCGGCTTGGCAGAATAGGGCTTCTTCCAGCACCTGGGCTGACATGAGGTCCCCAGCCAGGCTCTACTCCCTCTCCCAGCTCCATGCCCCTGAAGACCCCAGGAGCCTGCTCTCTGCCATTCCTAGCACTGTGGGGCTTCTTGCCATCTGACTGTGGTAAGACGGGCAACTTTAGCCAGCTCTGGACACAGCCTGCCCCCCTCCCCAGCCATCTGGTCCTTGGGTCTTCCTTTCTTATCTGGGAAGTGGGGCAAAAAGTGGCTAAAATCCTGCTCTTTCCCATGTATCCAAACACTTGGCATTCAGGTCTGACTGCTCTCCAGTGTCCAGGACCCCTGTCTCTCTCTGACCCAGTGAAGACCTGCCAGCTTGGAAGAAGGCAGGCATCCATTGTAGTACTGGGTACTACTGGCCACAACTTGGGCCCAGCTGCAGAGGGAGGGAACCCCACCCTCCAGCAGGGACACCAGAGGGCAGAGGCCATTCATCTCCTCTCAGAGATGCTTGGGGAGCAAGGTGGCTGAAGCAGAGCCAGAGGCAGAGAGAAGCTTGGCTTGGAACAGCCCAGCTCACCAGGCCGAGTCTAGAATCTGTGCACACCTGTGTGCATGTGTCATGGGAACAAACATGCAGCGTTGGTGCACATGCTTGAATTCTTGGATGGGATCTCTCCATGTGACCACACGAATTTCCCCAGACACGGGGTGGGGGTTGGGGGGAAGGAGAGGGGTGCAGAGCAAATCAGTTTCCATTTGTCAGACAGGACACCTCCCACCAGGCCAGAAGGGCAGCCACACTGGGGACACCAATAGCCTCAGCCCAGGGGCTCATTTACCAGAAAGACAGGAGCCGCTGCCAAGGCATCCCCCAGAAATCCGCTGGGCTAGAATGCAAAGAACCAGACTCTGAGATGCTCCAGCCTCACCCTCAGTCCTGGGACCCAGCAGGCCCTGCACCCTTAGCCCTGGGGCCACGGTGATGCAGGCAGGGCCAGCTTGGGTGCCCAGAAAGATGTTCCCCTCTGGGGAGGCGGGACAGGAAGATAGAGGAAAGGGGAGAGCCAGGGAGGAGGAAGTACCCTGACAAAGAGGTCAGGTTTTGGTCAGCTGGACAGCCCTATGCATCTGTTCTCATGAGGCTGTTCAAAGAGGCCCTATCCCAGGGGCCCAGAGGTGAGCAGGGCAGACCCAGAGCCAGTCTGGGGGACCCTGGCCAGTGGCCTGCTGCATCCTGGCAGCATATCATGAGAGGAGCAGGAGTTGGTGGATTACTCAGATGGGAACTGAGCTCCCTGAGGACCAGCCAAGTTCCACCTGGCCTATCAGCATGTGGGCAGATGTGATTGTGGGCCCTGTCTCAGCAATGGGACAAAAGTGTGACAGTCCATGGACCTGTCCGTGCAGAGCAGACAGCATGCTGGAGTGGCCTGGCTCTCAGCCCTGGCTCCCTGGCCCATCTTGCTTCCACTTCCACCTGTAGAACAGGGTCAGGCATAGCCCCAGAGAAGAGGCTGGCACTATGCCCAGGTGGTGAGTTTTATCTCTCGCTATTTATGATAAGAATGTGTATGGCGGCCTTGTGGCCTGCAGGAGCCATGCTGTATAGGTCTCTGCCAAGAAACATTTGCAGACAAGTGGGGTCAGGTCTCAGGGCCTCCTTCTGAGAACCTCTGGGCTTGAGGATTAGTGAGGCTGATGGAGCCAAGCCCCAGAGGCCCTAAGCGGTTCCCGCTGCTGCACAGACGGCCAACAGGTGTAGTGGCTGCCGAAACACTCACAGCCAGACTGAGGCCTTGCTGCAGGGTCTGCTGATGCTGACAGGGGACTGGCTAGGGGGGATCTGGGCAAGGCCTGGCCAGGCCATCCCAGGGACAGGAAAGGAGGAGGAGGGTGTGGGGTGGGAGAGCTGCAGCAATAGTGTGCTGACCCTGACTGTCCAAAGCAGCCATCACACATACATACTTGCCCCGAGTGGATGTGCCCCAGGAGGGAGGCCAGGGCAAGCTCCCCTAGGAAGGCAGTGTGGGAAGAGGGCGTGGGGGATTGCTCACCTGGAATGGTAAGTCCACAGTGCCGCTCCCAATCTGGTTCACGTTGGGCAGGGACCCGCCGTAGTACTGGCCACGGCTTGGGCCCAGCTGCAGGTACTGGGACTTTTGGAGCTGGAGCTGTGAGAGAAACCGGCAGCTGCAGTGAGGGCTGGGGGGGAGGGGGCATCCTCAGCACACCTTGCCTGGAAAGGACCTGTGTGGTGGGGTCAGTAGCACCAATCACAGAGGGTGTAGAACCCCATGACTCAGATTCTCAAAGAAGCCAAGTGTCTCTCCACCCAAAAAGGCAGAATCACAAGCCCAAGGTGCCACAAGAGGTCCTCCCCAGGGCTCTGTGAACCTCGGGGAGCTTTCTTTGCTGGCTGACACAGCAGGTTTGTGACAGAGAGAGAGTATCGAGCAGGCCTGGAGCCTACAGCCCCAGAAAGCGGCTTCTCACCCACCCGGGGGAGCCATTTCTCATCGTGGCCAAAGGCTTTGTTACTGGGCACAGGCCAGAGGCTGCAAAATGATGCCTGGATAGACACAAGAGAAATCTTCTTTCCAATGGCCTGAAACAGAGGGGTCAGCTCAGAAGTGTAACACTGACTTTCAAAGTGCAGGATGTGGATCCTCCGGCAGCACACAGGACTAGCAGATCTGCCTGAGTTCAAGGGTCCTGCTCAAAGCCCCAGGCTCATTCTGCCTGTCCCTCTGCCTCACAGGGACTGGGCCCAGTGGTTGGCTCTCATCTGGGCTGGCGGAATTCCTGCAGTCCTCTGCCCATCACTTAATTGGGGACTTCTCCCACTTCAGAACCAGAAGCCGGAGGTTCCCTGACCAGCAACGGCTGCCTCGGACCTGGCTAGGCAAACGCGTCTTCTCTCTCAAGCAGCTGATTTCATTTTTGGGGAACAAGAGCAGATGCCTTGGCCCAGGCAGCACCGCCTGCAGCCCATTACACTGCTGTGGGAGACGGGTATCATGAACAAGGGATGGCTGGCTGGGTATGCAGGAAGGGGTGGTATCGCTCTCCCAGCTGGAGCTGTTGCTAGGGTCAACTCTGTGTACACAATAAGGCCACTTGTGGTCCCTCACCAATAGCTTCTAGTGGCCTCCACCAGCTGGCCACCCACACAACCCGCTTCTCAACTAGTGCCCAGCTTCCTGGGGGGGAGGGGTCGACCTTAGACACTGGAGGGAAAGTGAAGCCTGGAAACTGGCCACCCACTCAGCGGAGCACCTAACTCAGGTAAACAGCTGTTTCCTGCAGGCTGTGTGGAGCCGGGAGAGAGGCTGACCTTGCTCTGTTCCTACCCAGGTGGTTTTCAAGAGTCTGTGGGGCCCAGCGCAGGGTCTGCCTCTGACATGAATACCTCACTGTGTCCCTCCCACATTTATGAGGAATAACAGAGGCTAGGGCCCCACTCCTGCCTTGGCACAAGTAACCGCAGGCCTGAGACACACCCCATTCCCTCCTTGTGTTTGAGCCCTACTTCCACCTCTTAAGGGCCACAGCCCCTTCTGGCCCTCAGTTACCCCCACCAGTTTCCTTATTTCAGCCCTGGGCCCCTTTGTTCCCCTTACCCTCTCAGCACATGCAAAATGTCCTCATCTGTTCCTGCCCAACACCCACTCCTCTGTAGAGAGCGCTGTGTAAATGGTGACTTCTCCAGCCTCTCTCAGTCCCACCTTGCTGAGAGGACCCCTACAGGGGTGGGGTCGCCCAGCAAAGTGTATATCCCCTAGCTTCTGTCAGGGCCCACATCCGTGCTGGTCACAACTCCCAGCACAGTAGAGCATCCATTGGCTGGGAAAAGTGGAGACCACAAGGGCAGGGAACAGGGAGGGGCCAGTGGCCCTGGGCAGATGTGGTGTGATGGATGCAGCCACTTCTTTAGGGCACTCCCCAAGCCTCAGTCCCCCAACCCCTGCGCCAACAGGCTGCAGTGACACCCCCATCTGTCAGCCTCTCCCAGGCTTCACTCTCTAGACAAGCCAGCCTTGATCAGGCCCAAATGGTGGGCCTTCTAACGAGATTAAGAGGAGTCGGCGTGCTGACGGCTGAGCTCTGTTCTGCAAAGCCAGGTTGGGCCAGCGAGAAGACGTGTGCTCTGGACAGACCTGTTTGCCCCTCTCACCACAAAGGCTTCACAGTCTGGCCCTTTGCTTCCCCGGACCACCAGGCTCTGCAATTGCCATGGCTGCTGCTGTGAGGCCTTTGCACTGATGCTACCTCCTCTATGAGGCTCTTCCCACTGGGCTAGCCCAGTGGTCGCGAGCCACATGCGGCTCGCAAGCCTTGGTTTGCTGCTCTGTCGACTAATTACCGTATTTTTCGGACCATAAGATGCACCGGACCATAAGATGCACCAGTTTTTAGAGAAGGGAAATGAAGAAAAAAGATTCTGAAACAAATAGTGTCCTAAAATATTTTATGTGCATTAAAACCCAACATCACAGTCATAAACACATGTAATCAACCCTGTAAAGTAAACAGCAGCATTTAGAACCATTTTAGAGCCGGGCAAGCACACAGAGACCACACAGAGCCGGGCAAGTAAAAAAACTTTTTTTTTAAAGTATATGTGTAGACTATATTTGTACCATAAGACGCAGGGACTTTCCCCCCCACTTCTGGGGGGAAAAAGGTGCGTCTTATGGTCCGAAAAATATGGTAGTTTGCTGACCACTGGGCTAGCCCAACACTGAGCACTTCAAACCCACGGGATCACCTCCACAAAACTAATTGACTGAGGTCTATCTGTCTGTCTCATCCCAGCAGACTGTCGGCCCCATAAGGACCCTGGCACAATGGAAGAGTTCAGCATACATGGGGAACAAGTGAAAATGTGACATGGTAAGGTGAAAATAAGGTCAGGAACAAGAGTTGGACACACTCAGAGGCCCGGATAGGAACCATGTTGCTCCTGTGCCCAAGTGGGACCCTTACCCCCAACTTCCAGGAAACTGAGGCACAAGAAAGAACAGATGGCTGTTTGAGTGCAGAGGCAGCATGTGTCCCAGTTTGGAGCCCAATCTGAGAACCACCCATGAGAGGGAAGCAAAGAGCGCACACTGTCCCCTTGCCAGCTCAGGCGCATGATGTTTCTGGGACCGAGCACTGACTGGGACCCAGGGGGATTGCACACACTGGCTCAAGTCACCTTTGGGAGTGTCTCTGGGAGGGAAAGACTGGAGCCTCACCAGTTTCTCCAAGTGTTCCAGCAGCCATGGGGACACATGCAGAGAGCCCCACGAACCCCTAATAGGATCTAATTTTGAGTTTTATGGAGCCAGGGTGGGTTTTCTGGGGTCACCATTCTTTGACAAGAATGTATTCACCCAGTTTGTCTGGCTGCATCCCTCCAGGTTCCTTTCCAGGCTCAGCTTGGGCAGCAGGTAGTGACTTTCAGATGGTAGACAGCCCCTCCTGGGCTCCATTCCCCACACTGGGCCCTCCCCCTATACTGCTCAGCTGAAGTGACATGTGCATGGCTATGAATATCTCACTGAGGCCATGGAGGACAGCACCAAACATCCTGGGCCTACTTACTGATTGGAAACCTGGGTTCTGAGGGAGATGGCTATACCAGCAGCTGCCCCAAAAGGAAGGCTCAAGATAGCTTTTCTTTTTTTTTTTCTTTTCTTTTCTTTTCTTTTCACTAATTATCATCAGAGGATATGTTTCTATTGATTTTAGAAAGAAAAAGTGAGAGAGAAACATCGATGTAAAAGAAAAACATCTATCAGCTGCTTCCCTTATGTGCCCAACCGAGGATTGAACCTGAAACCTAGGTATGTGCCCTGACCAGGTATTGAACCCACAACCTTTTGTGTGTGTGTGTTTTTGTTTGTTTGTTTTAATATATTTTATTGATTTTTTACAGAGAGGAAAGGAGAGAGATAGAGAGCTAGAAATGTCGATGAGAGAGAAACATCAACCAGCTGCCTCTTGCACACCCCCAACCGGGGATGTGCCTGCAACCAAGGTACATGCCCTTGACTGGAATTGAACTCGGGACCCTTTAGTCCGCAGACCGACGCTCTACCACTGAGCCAAACCGGCTTCGGCTGAACCCACAACCTTTTGGTATAGGGGATGACGCTCTAACCAACTGAGCAATCTGGCCAGGGCTTTTTGCTCTCTTTTTAAACATCTTTTTTTTTTTTTTTTTTTTTTTTTAATCAAAACAAAGTTCCCATAACATACAACAAACCATTTTAACATATACAATTCAATGACATCTAGTATATTCACAATGTTATGCAACCATCACCTCTTCCTAGTTACAGAACATTTCTGTCAACCCAAAGGGAAACCACCTCCCCATAAGCAGTCACTCCCCGTCTCCCTCCCCCACAACAACCACTAAGCCACTCTCTGTCTCCATGGATTTGCCTGTTCTGCACTTTCATACAGATGGAATCACACATTGTGTGGCCTTTTGTGTCCGACTTCCTTCACTCAGCACAGTATTTTCTAGGTTCATCTCCATGTTGTAGCATGTGTCAGTGCTTCACTCCTTTTCACGGCTAAATAAAGTTCCATTGTGAGGATGAACCACATTGTGTGTATCCTACATCTACCAAAGGACTCTTGGGCTGTTTCCACCTTTTGGCAATTGTGAATATGGTGCTCCTGTGGACATAGGTATACAAGTATCTGTTTGAGTTCCTGTTCAAATCTCTAGGTATACATCCCTAGGAATGGAATGGCCAAGTCATATGGTAACTCTGTAATTTATTTTTTGAGGAATAGCCATTCTGTTTTCCATAGTGGCTGCACCATTTTACATTCCCACCAATACTTTTTAAGGGCTCCAATTTCTCCACACCCTTGCCTATACTTGTTGGTTTCTGTTGTTTTAACAGTAGCCATCCTGATGGATGTGACTTATCTCATTGTGGATTTGGCTTGCATTTTCCTGGTAACTAGTAATGCTGAGCACCTTTTCATGGCTTGTTGGTCATTTGCCTATCATCTTTGGAGAAATGTCTGTCAAGTCCTTTGTCCATTTTAAAACTGGGTTTGTCTTTTTTGGTGTTGAGTCATAAGAGTTCTTTATATTTCTTATTATTAATCCCTTATCAACGATATGGTTTGCAAATATTTTCTCCCATTCTGTGAGTTCTTT